TGGCCCAACGATTGTGCTAATATGTTGTGTATCATTCAATACTACAAAATGTCCCTTGAAAGATATGGTTTTAATCTATATTAAGAGTTGAATGGTATATTTCCCATCCTAACCTTCAAAAAAAAATTATATTCTTATTTTCTAATTTGTATGTGGTTGTTGTGCACATAATGAGATGATTCCTCTATCACTCTTATAATGATTTCATGATTGCACTCACACTCTATGTGTACCTTCTATATTCCATAGTATCACCCCTTACAACAAATATGCGATATCTTATGTTACAATGTTACCAATTCTTGAGAACCATATGACTCATAGAAGATTGAGGACATTTTGATCAGCCTAATTTTAAAAATGCAGGAACCATGATAACATAAGAGTTGGAGTGGCGTGTTCTCTTGAATTTTGTAGGATTAGAAAACCACGGGAATTTGGATGACGAGTCTTTGATGCTATAGGAAAAACAAAGAAATGTACCGAAAGGTTTGAGTGGATAGAGGTTTTCTTCCAAAATAGAAGACCAAAACAGTTCTTAGGAATATTTCCGAAGGTACCAATCCTACAAATCAGGTGGAGGAAGAGGAGGACAAGATGGACATGGCAACGTCGACAACGCCGCAGTCCACGGAGCTCAAGCCGTGGGAGGAGGTTCAACGTGAGCTAGAGGAGGGGGAGCTCGAGGAGCACCTTGGTAAAGCACACGCCGAGCTCGCCGTCATCCACGCCGACCAAGAGGCGGTTGAGCAGCACCTTGCTGTTGAGGCGTTCTTTGCGGGCTTCGGTAAGGGGCGTGAGCCCAACGCAATCCCCTCCGACAAGGAGGAGAGCCATAGCTGAGCTTAATTAAGTGATAGTTTAGGTTAATTTGAGTGCCTTGTGCAGACTTGTGATCTGGGAAGTTAAATTTGGAGGAAGGACTATGTGCCAAAAGTTCAAATTCTTAAAATTTAAGGAGTTAAATTCTCAAAGGTGGTTTGGAGAGCTAATCATATAAGGGCGGAAATAGTTTGCTTGGTTTTTCGAGTCTCAAACAAGAGCGTTGCTATATACTCTCTCCGTTCCTAAGTATTCGTCTTTCTAGATATTTCAACAAGTGACAACATACGAAGCAAAATAAGTGAATCTATACTCTAAAATATATCTATATACATCCGTATATGATAGTCCATTTAAAATTAAAAAAACAAATATTTAGGAACGGAAGGAAGGAGTAGACAACAAGTTTATGGCCGACGCCTGCACGATCTGTGTCAAAGTCCACGCAATTAAGTGGTAGCTTAGGTTAATTAGAGTTAAAATACAAGGGGAGGTGCTAGGAGTACTGTGTCAAAGTCCACGCAAAGACTACACGACTCTGCTCACACTGCTCAGCTTAGAAGTTGATTGATGATACTAGCCGGTTGGCAGTCGACGGATTGGTCTTTGCTTGCCCAAGCAAAAACTCGATGTCGGCTCGCTATTGGCATCGACTTTTTCTTCTCTCGAAAACACTTCAAATAAAATTGCTTGTAATTTATGTACTACTATATTGTAAATGGCATCGGTATA